TTAAAATAAAGAATGTTACAAGAGACAAGGAAGGACACTACATCATGATCAAGGGATCAATCCAAGAAGAAGATATAACAATTATAAATATATATGCACCCAACATAGGAGCACCTCAATACATAAGGCAACTGCTAAGAATTATAAAAGAGGAAATTGACAGTAACACAATAATAGTGGGGGACTTTAACACCTCACTTACACCAATGGTCTGATCATCCAGAAAGAAAATTAATAAGGAAACGCAAGCTTTAAATGACACAATAGACCAGACAGATTTAATTGATAGTTATAGCACATACCATCCAAAAATAGCAGATTACAGTTTCTTCTCAAGTGCACATGGAATATTCTCCAGGATAGATCACATCTTGGGTCACAAATCAAGCTTGGTAAATTTAAGAAAATTAAAATCATATCAAGCATCTATTCCGACCACAACGCTATGAGATTAGAAGTCAATTACAGGGAAAACATGTAAAAAACACAAACATACAGAGGCTAAACAATACGTTATTAAATAACTAAGAGATCACTTAAGAAATTAAAGAGGAAATCAAAAAATACCTAGAGACAAATGACAATGAAAACACGACGATCCAAACCTATGGGACACAGCAAAAGCAGTTCTAAGAGGGAAGTTTATAGCAATACAACCTACCTCAAGAAACAAGAAAAATCTCAAATAAACAATCTAATCTTATACCTCAAGGAACTAGAGAAAGAAGAACAAACAAAACCTGAAGTTAGTACAAGGAAAGAATTCATAAAGATCAGAATAGAAATAAATGAAATAGAAACAAAGAAAACAATAGCAAAGATCAATAAAACTAAAAGCTGGTTCTTTGAGAAAATAAACAAAACTGATAAACTTTAGCCAGACTCGTCAAGAAAAAGAGGGAGAGAACTCCAATCAATAAAATTAGAAATGAAAAAGGAGAAGTTACAATGGACACTGCAGAAATACAAAGCATCCTAAGAGACTACTACAAGCAACTCTATGCCAATAAAATGGACAATCTGGAAGAAATGGACAAATTCTTAGAAAGGTATAACCTTCCAAGACTGAACCAGGAAGAAATAGAAAATATGAACAGACCAATCACAGGCACTGAATTTGAAACTGTGATTAAAAATCTTCCAACAAACAAAAGTCCAGGACCAGATGGCTTCATGAGTGAATTGTATCAAACATTTAGAGAAGAGCTAACACCAATCCTTCTCAAACTCTTCCAAAAATTGCAGAGGAAGGAACACTCTCAAACTCATGCTATGAGGACACCATCACCCTGATAGCAAAACCAGACAAAGATACTACACAAAAAGAAAATTACAGACCAATATCACTGATGAATATAGACGTAAAAATCCTCAACAAAATACTAGCAAACAGAATCCAACAACACATTAAAAGGATCATACACCATGATCAAGTGGGATATATCCCAGGGATGCAAGGGATTCTTCAATATACGCAAATCAATCAATGTGATACACCATATTAACAAATTGAAGGATAAAAACCATATGATCATCTCAATAGATGCAGAAAAAGCTTTTGACAAAATTCAACACCCATTTATGATAAAAACTCTCCAGAAAGTGGGCATAGAGGGAACCTACCTCAACAGAATAAAGGCCATATACGACAAACCCACAGCAAACATCATTCTCAATGGTGAAAAACTGAAAGCATTTCCTCTAAGATCAGGAATGAGACAATGATGTCCACTCTCGCCACTATTATTCAATATAGTTTTGGAAGTCCTAGCCATGGCAATCAGAGAAGAAAAAGAAATAAAAGGAATCCAAATAGGAAAAGAAGAAGTAAAACTGTCACTGTTTGCAGATGACATGGTACTATACATAGAGAATCCTAAAGATGTCACCAGAAAACTACTAGAGCTAATCAATGAATTTGGTAAGGTTGCAGGATACAAAATTAATGCACAGAAATCTCTTGCATTCCTATACACTAACAACGAAAGATCAGAAAGAGAAATGAAGGAAACAATCCCATTCACCATTGCCACAAAAAGAATAAAATGCCTAGGAATAAATCTACCTAAGGAGGTAAAAACCTGTACTCAGAAAACTATAAGACACTGATGAAAGAAATCAAAGATGACACAAACAGATGGAGAGATATACCATGTTCTTGGATTGGAAGAATCAATATTGTGAAAATGATTATGCTACCCAAAGCAATCTACAGATTCAGTGCAATCCCTATCAAATTACCAGTGGCATTTTTTACAGAAGTAGAACAAAAAATCTTAAAACTTGTATGGAGACACAGAAGACCCGAATAGCCAAAGTGGCCTTTAGGGAAAAAAACGGAGCTGGAGGTATCAGACTCCCTGACTTCAGACTATACTACAAAGCTACAGTAATCAAGACAATATGGTACTGGCACAAAAACAGAAATATAGATCAATGGAACAGGATAGAAAGCCCAGAGATAAACCCACGCACCTATGGTCAACTAATCTATGACAAAGGAGGCAAGGATATACAGTGGAGAAAAGACAGCCTCTTCAATAAGTGGTGCTGGGAAAACTGGACAGCTACATGTAAAAGAATGAAATTAGAACACTCCCTAACACCATACACAAAAATAAACTCAAAATGGATTAGAGACCTAAATGTAAGACCAGACACTATAAAACTCTTAGAGGAAAACATAGGAAGAACACCCTTTGACATAAGTCACAGCAAGATCTTTTTTGATCCACCTTGTGGAGTAATGGAAATAAAATAAATAAATAAATAAATGAGACCTAATGAAACTTAAAAGCTTTTGCAAAGCAAAGGAAACTACAAACAAGACGAAAAGACAACCCTCAGAATGGGAGAAAATATTTGCAAATGAATCAACGGACAAAGGATTAATCTCCAAAATATATAAAGAGCTCATGCAGCTCAACATTAGAAAAACAAACAATCTAATCAAAAAATGGGCAGGGGCTTCCCTGGTGGCGCAGTGGTTGAGAGTCCGCCTGCCGATGCAGGGGACACGGGCTTGTGCCCTGGTCCAGGAGGATCTCACATGCCGTGGAGCGGCTGAGCCCGTAAGCCATGCCCGCTGAGCCTGTGCATCTGAAGCCTGTGCTCCGCAACAATGAGAGGCCACAACAATGAGAGGCCTGCTTACCACAAAAAAAAAAACAAAAAATGGGCAGAAGACTTAAATAGACATTTCTCCAAAGAAGACATACAGATGGCCAAGAAGCACATGAAAAGCTGCTCAACATCACTAATTATTAGAGAAACGCAAATCAAAACTACCATGAGGTATCACCTCATACCCGTCAGAATGGCCATCATCAGAAAATCTACAAACAACAAATGCTGGAGAGGGTGTGGAGAAAAGGGAACCCTCTTGCACTGTTGGTGGGAATGTAAATTGATACAGTCACTATGGAGAACAGTATGGAGGTTCCTTAAAAAACTAAAAATAGAATTGCCATATGACCCAGCAATCCCACTACTGGGCATATACCCAGAGAAAACCATAATTCAAAAAGACACATGCACCCCAATGTTCATTGCAGCACTATTTACAATAGCCAGGTCATGGAAGCAGCCTAAATGCCCATCAACAGATGAATGGATAAAGAAGATGTGGCATATATATACAATGGAATATTACTCAGCCATAAAAAGGAACAAAATTGGGTCATTTGTAGAGACGTGGTGGGTCTAGAGACTGTCATAAAGAGTGAAGTAAGTCAGGAAGAGAAAAACAAATATTGTATATTAATGCACATATGTGGAACCTAGAAAACTGGTACAGATGAACTGGTTTGCAGGTCAGAAATAGAGACACATATGTAGAGAACAAATGTATGGACACCAACAGGGGATAGTGGCAGGGGGGGTGGGTGGTGGTGTGATGAATTGGGAGATTGGGATTGACATATATACACTAACATGTATAAAATAGATAACTAATAAGAACCTGCTGTATAAAAAATAAATAAAATAAAATTTAAAAATTCAAAAGAAAAACACAAAAGAATAGGTTGAACTAATATTATGCAGTGCCATCCTGAGATTCAAAATCTAGATGCATGTGTCCTACATTTAAAGCGTCTTTAGGGGCCAGTAAGGCTGATGGATATCAGACAACAGGAAGTAGTGGGGCCTGTGCGGGAACCGAAACTGAATAATGAGTGTACGCCCTACCTAAAGGCATTAAAAAATCAGTGAAAAATATCACACAAACATACACAATTTTAACCAAACAAAACTATTCCTCTGGCAGAGTCTAGCCCATGAGCCTCTAGTTTGTGCCCCTGTGACTGCTCTAAATTCTAGAGAAAAGAGCTGACCATGTCAAAGAAATAAGTAACAGAAAACATCCAGAAGAGCTACAGTAATCAAAATCTACAACAAGCAAATGGGGTATATAAATTTATACCTAGAATTCATCTTAATCTATCAGTTAAATTTAATCCAAAAAACAGTAAATATTAATTGATTATTTGTAGATACAAAGTAATGACCTAAGTGTCTGGGGTTAAAAGATGGAATATGTTACTACTTCTGTACTTTGGTATTTAGTTCTCAGTTCGGGTCCCACAAGGTTTTATGAATGGGCAGTTACACAGGTTACAGGTTACAAAATAACCTTTATTGTCTGCTCAGTAGAAAAATCAGTCCCTCATCCTGTCCATGATTTAAATCTCACCTACATGTCCATTCAGCTTTAAACCTATCATAGTCATGTAATGTCCTGTATCCTAAAATTGTCTCTTGTCTATCTATATAAAAATTCTGATTTCTTTAGTCTTTGGTGATAGTAACTTGTGTTTGAATTCAAGTGCCTACTCAGGTCCCAGTAAAGATGCTCAATAAATGTTCACTGAACCCAAAACTAATGTTTTTGAAATATGTCCACAAATATTTTGATATTTTCTCTTCAAAAAAGTGAACTCTGGGAATTCCCTGGCAGTCCAGTGGTTAGAAATCCACGCTTTCACTGCTGAGGGCATAGGTTCAATCCCTGGTCGGGGAACTAAGATCCCACAAGACACACAGCGCAGCCAAAAAAAAAAGAAAAAAGTGAACTCTAACTCCCCTATCATTAGGAGTGGTCTGAATTAAGTGACTCACTTTTAATAAACTGAACAGTGGAAGTGATGACTTCCAAGACTAGATCTTAAAAAGGCAGAGTTTTCTTCTTGCTCTCTCTTGGATAATTTGCTCTGGGGGAAGCCAGTTGCTGTGTCATGAAGACATTCAAGCAGCCCTATGGTAGTGAGAAACCGAAGCTTGCTGCCAACAGCCGGTAAGGAACTGATGCTTCTTGCCAAGAGCCATATGAGTGAGCCATCTTAGAAGTTAATCCTTGAGCCTCAGTAAAGTCTTCATACGACTGCAGCCTTGACCAACAGCTAGATTGCAACTTCCAGAACCAGAACCGTCCTGATAAACCACTCCTAAACTCCAGACCCACAGACACTATGTGAAATAATAAATGTTTATTATTGTTTTAAGTTGTTAACTTCTAGGGTAATTTGTTAAGCAGAAATAGATAACTCATACGCCTACTGAAATTATCATCATGTTATGACATACACACGTCTTATGTCTAAAACCTAGCTGTTTTGGAGCCTCTTTCACTTACCTTCTTCCCCTCCGCCACTTCCCATTTTTGCCACCTCCAGAAGCCACCCATTCCCCTTTTTCTGAATATTAAAAAGTCCTAAATAGAATATTAAAAAGTCATTTTGCTCCTAATGGGCCCAAGAGAGGGATTGCTCAGGGTCAGATCTTTATCTTCTTTCTAATGTGACAGATGTTGGAGGAGATATTTTGGATCATCCAGACCTCTCATCAATCTATTCATAAATATCCACTTAGTTCAGTTATGTATCCATTTATTTACCCGAGAGGATTTTAATTATAATCAGCAGTGTCAGCTTGGAAAATGAAGGAAAGCAATCAGAAGCATAAATGCCACCTAAACAGGTCTTTGGAGTGTATGTGGATATGCCCATAAGTGGAAGTATTTTCAGACTTGTGACCAGGGGAAGGACTTGACCTTTGGTGATAGATGGAGTAGAAAATATTACAATAGGCAGGGGTAGCATTGTGAGAGGTGTGAAAATGATATACAGGATACCTTAGATGTTAGTTTCATTCTATAGTCTCTTCCCTGCTCAGTATACTTCCCAGCAGCTTTAGCACAGAGGCTGAGACAATGTGTCCTTGTTTTACAGAATATTGTTTTACAGAGAGCTCCTAGCAGAGTCTGGTACAGAGAGGAGAGGGAGCAACTATTGCTGCCAAAGGGAGTATCAGAAACTGGACATGACTTTGTGCATGGAAACTACTTCCCCTTCCCCACAGATTTTTGAAAGCAATGAATAAATAAAGAGTGGCTCTGAACAGCCAATGCAAGTAAAGAAAGAGGAAATGTCAGGTCTTAGAAGTTTATCAACAAAAGTCTTAAATAAAAAAGAACACATATCACAGTCCTAGGAAAATCCCTCTTTAATTGTTTCCTCATCTATATTATTGCAGATTAGAGAAAAAAAGCTTAAGGCATTTGACCTCTTTTGCTGAAAACCACTCCCACTGGTGGGACTGGCATCTTATTACACTTCTCACCTGATACAACAATGACTTGACTACACTATAGTATCTAATCCTCAGATTTATTAACTTTAAAATGGAGCCAATATTTATCTCATAAGATTATTGAGGATAAAGTAAGATAATTATATTTAGGGAAATATAAAAAGTGCTTCATAAGTGATAATTGTCTTAGGTTGGGGGTCCCCGAATCTGACCCTGAGTCAAGGTGTTATGAGTTGAATTGTGTGCCCCATAAAAGATATTAAAATTCGCATCCCTGGTACCTATAAATGTGACCTTATTTGGAAATAGGGTCTTTGCACATGTAATTAAAGTTGTGATATGGTCATCAGAGTGGGTTCTTGATCCAATATAACCAGTGTTCTTATATGAGGGGAAGACGGCCACGTGAAGACACAGAGACACAGGGAGAATGCTATGTAAAGATGGAGGCAGAGACTGGAGTGACGCATTTACAAACCAAAGAATGCCATGGGTCGTCAGCCATCACCAGAAGCTAGGAGAGATGCATGGAAGAGACTTTTCCTCAGAGCCCTGAAGAGGAACCAATCGCACCAACACCTTTACTGTATTTCCAACTTCTGGCCTCCAGAACTGTGAGAGAATAAACTTCTGTTGTTTTAAGCCACACAATTTATGGTACTTTGTTACAGCAGCTCCAGGAAACTAATACACAAGGATTTGAGAGTATGTGGTTTATCTTGAAGGAGAGACCTGGAACCACTGATAGCAGAGTGGGGAAGTGAGACTGGGGAGAGAAGGCCAGTAACAGAGTGGGCTGATGGGTAAGTTACCTCTGCAGGTGGGGCTCAGCCCTTCTGTAGACTCCTGGAGACAATGTGGAAGATGCCTCCGAGTTGTCCTGCTTCTCAGGAGTGAGGACATTGGTATACTTATTAGTATAAATGTTGGTATATTAGTGTTCTATGGCCGCTGTAACAAATCACAAATTTGGTGGCTGAAAACAACAGAAACTTATTCTCTCACAGGTCTAGGCGTCAGAAGTCCGAAATCAGTATCCCTGGAATCATGCAGTCAGCAGGGTCACCCTCCCTCTAGAGGCTCTAGGGGAGAACCTGCTCCTTGCCTCTTCCCCCTTCTGATGGCTGCTGGCACTCCTTGACTTGTTGCTACATCACTACACTCTCTGCCTCTGTGGCAACGTCTCCTCCTCTTCTGTGTGAAATCTCTCTCTGCCTAGCCCGTAAGAATACATGTGATTGCATTTAGGGCCCACCTGGACACTCAAGAATCATCTCCCCATCCCAAGATCCTTAATCATACCTTTGGCTCTACAACATAAAATTCAACAGTTTCAGGGCCTGATGTCTTCAGAGGACATTTTCCAGCCTGCCACAGGTGGTATATGTATATATCCTTCAGCTTCCATTTGTCATTGGTTGAAGGCTGCTCTCAGGGGTGAAAATTCCTCAGCACTTCTGTCCTGTCCTGCAGGGGTTGAGAAAAACTCAGGTGAAAAGTTGCAAGCCCTTGCAGAGGACTTCTTTCCGGCATGTATGGAGGAAGTGCTGAGAGGATGTCAATGGGATGACAACAACAACATCTGCTACGTTATTATTTTTTGTTATTATTTAGGTTTTTGGTTAATTTTAAATTGAATAATTAATCATTAGTTCTAATTATGGTTATCAGCTATTTTAGCCTATTTTCTGATGACACACAATATAAATTATTTGCACTATCTGAACTTAGAAAATATTATCCCACCTACCTGAACTTTGTCATTTCTACAAGGGTCCACTTAAATATACATTGCTCTGTCCTTTCCTCCAAAGCAGCTTTCTTTTATTGTTTTTCTTTTTTTAGCACCTGTGCAATCTCTTATTAATCTCTATTTGGTCATGCATAATTATCTTTCTCAACTATATATATATATTCCTCAACTATATTTTAGCATTGACGAAGGTAGAGGAATGACATGTATATTTTCAAATTCTTGATGCTGGGATTTTGGAGACTTATAATTATAATCTGGTACCTTTAGTAATTTTTCATAAGGAAATACGAAGCATCTACTTTGAACATATTACATGCTTTTAGTTTCTTCAAGGTCCCTTCTTATAATATATACATTATCTTGTGGGACAGGAAACTCTGAAGCCTTATTGTACTTTGCCCACTTAGTGACAGTTTTCAAACCAGTTTGTTTATAGAAAACAGAACTGTAATATGGTGAATGGCCGAGAAATTCCTGGCTTATTTCTAAAGATCTCTGGAATATCAGGATTCTGGCTGTGGGTAAATGAATGAAATAGGCAACGTTGGAAGAGGTACAAGTGAAAAATATAGTATCATTTTGAACATGGTGATCTGAAGTTCCATAGTTATCTTCTGGAGATGTCCAGGAGGTAGGTGGTTACATGACTGAAGCTTGAGGGAGAGATATGGACCGGATGAAAGATTTAGGAATCTCTTTGCATTAGGTAGATGGATGAGATCACACCAGAAGAGCAAGTAGAACATAAAGAGAAGTAGAAAAGTGGGCCTGGTACTTCCCTGGTGGTGCAGTGGTAAAGAATCCTCCTGCCAATGCAGGGGACATGGGTTCGAGCCCTAGTCCGGGAAGATCCCACATGCCATGGAGCAACTAAGCCCGTGCACCACAACTACTGAGCCTGCACTCTAGAGACCATGAGCCACAACTACTGAGCCCGTGAGCCACAACTACTGAAGCCCACACACCTAGAGCCCGTACTCCGCAATAAGAGAAGCCACCGCAATGAGAAGCCCGCGCACCGCAACGAAGAGTAGCCCCCGCTCGCTGCGGCTAGAGAAAGCCCGCGCGCAGCAACGAAGTTCCAACGCAGCCAAAAATAAATAAATTAAAAAAAAAACTTAATAATTGTGTCTGAGATAAAAAAAAAAGTGGGCCAACAGTGGAACCCTGAGAGTCATCTACATTGAAGAGGCAGGAGGAAGAAAGAATGGAAGTAGGAGAACCTGGGGAAGAGGCTGTTAAGGGAGCCAAGGGAGTCAAAATTCTAATGTGAGAAAGGAAAAATGCAGCAGAGAGATCTAATAAAGTTAAAAAAAGAAAAAAAAATGATGTAATTCTGTGCACACTTAAAAAAAATTCACAACAACTTGGAGGTTCTTGGTGATCTTAATGAGAGCAGTTTCAGTGGAATGTTATGGGCAGAGTTTCAAAAGGGCTCACAGGAAACTCTGGGTATGATACTTGTGAAGCTACTTGGGGGTAGTCCAGTGACCCCCTCTTAGCTCAAGTGTCCAGGAAAGCTATGGAAGATCCAAGAGGATCTAGAGCCCAAACTGAGCTTAGCAGTGATTTGAGTGAATGGGAAATGACACAAAGCTGGGGACGACATAACTGAGAAACCAGAAGATTACATTAGTAGGAATCATGTAAACTTCCATTTGTTAAGTTTGCATTTAAATAACAGATTGCTCAAAATCAAGGTGGGAGAGATTTAGCTTGGCAACAACTGTTTAAAAATGATCCAAAGATTTTTGGTTGATTATAAACTTAAAACGGGCCAAGAGTATAACTTAATTCTTAAAAAGGCTAGTACAGGCTTGGGCTGTGATAACAGAGAAGAGGAAGTGGAGATAAAACTAGTTTTTGCGGTTTTTGTTTTTTTCTAAGTAAAGACAAACAGGGAAGGAGGAAAATAAAAAAGAAATTAAAAGGAGATGGAGTCATTAGGAAAAAAATTAAGGACGGAAGAGATTTCAGTATATTTATTGGCCAAGGGTAAAGATCCATTAGGGAGAGAAAGAATACAGGAGAAAAGGGATAATTAGCGATACATGGAGTCCGATGAAGCTGGGAGAAGTTGGTTTTGAATGGAAATGGGGATGCCTCACCCTTGGAGAGACTGGATGGAAGGCTGAAAGGATGGGAGTGACCACAGATAAGCTGTTATGTTTGGGAAGGAATTCAGCCACTTGGGAAGAGTACAGGATAATGTTCTCAGTTTGCTTGATGAAGTAATATTCCAGTGGGATAGGTTCTGCTGTTTCTGAGAGTGTGTGTAAAGAAGACAGAGCAATGGGGAAATTGGGGAAGTTGGAAGGGAGGGTAAGAAGAGTTCTGGATAGAATGGGATTCTTGATCTTTGAAGGGGGATCCAGAAATTGGCAAGTTTCCTCTCAGTCTCTATAAGATCAACACCCACTAGGGAGGTCAGATTCTTTGGAGCCTCTGCTGGCTTTTCCCCTCTGGCTCAGGACTGCTAGGCCAGACTCTGTCAGGGATGTGCTCAGAATCACAGACTTAAAAAAAAAAAAAATCTTAAGTGGAATTTTAAAATTTATTCATGAAAAGAAGTCTTTGAGAGACAATCATTTTGAAAAACATACTCTTATTCTTGCAATGTCTAAATCGTCCTGTTAAAACTCATGACTGGCGGAATTACTAAGCAGACAGTATAATTTACAGAAAAGTAATAGTTGTAAGATACTGAAATGCAGATGAATCTCACTGGTATAACTCTTAATCAGACAGTGGTTAAAATTAAGGCAAAAAGTGTTTCAAAATAAAACATTAAGAATCATGGACTTTTCAATATCCTGGTTGTTATATCATAGCTTTGCAAGATGTTACCTTTGGGAGGAACTGGCTAAAGGATATACGGGATCTCTATTATATTTTATAACTGCATGGAAATTTACAATTGTCTCAAAATAAAAAATTTAATTAAGAAAAAAAAGAATCATAGACTTTCTCACTCGAAAGGTCATGAGAAATCATTAGCCGTTCCACAAACGCGCCCAGAGAGCTTGTCGAAGGCCAGGCGAGGGGCGGGTACTACACGAAAGGAATAAGCTCTTCTCTGTCCTCACGACTTTACGGGAGGAAAGCTGACTACAAAACTCAGCATCTATAAAAGAAAGATGAGACGAGCTACATCCTACAACAAGCTAAACATGAGGAGACGTACAAAATGAAGACAGGGATTGAAAAAAACAAGTCCTTTCGTTCTGAGGGGAGAAGCCCGATTTCCTTAAGAATTTCAAAGAAACAGAGCAAGAGTCAAAGATTCAAAGACCCTGTGAGGTGAACCCCACCCTAGGACCATTCACCTTTGGCGATTCCCGGTTCCGTGTGTGCTCACGCGCGCGCACGCCGCGCCGCCGCCGACCCAGGGACGCGAGAACGTTACCGCGAAAGGGCGCGTGCCCGCTCCTGTCTACGGAAGTCCCGCCCCCATTTCCGGCGGCGGAGGGTGGGAAGTGGCTAGGAGCCCCTTCCGGCTAGAGCAGTGACGCTGGTTTCGCACGTGTGTTTCTTCTTCGGAATTCCCGGATTACCCCTGCCCCTGGTGAATTGGTCGGGCCTGGGTTCCCCTGCAGATTAAAGGATGAAGGCGGTAAGTGTCCTTAGAAGCCCGGTCCCCGCGGCTTATGGCCCCTTTGGCTCACAGAGTCGCTCCCTGGTGCAGCCTTTCGGCGGTTCTCGCCCTTGTATGGGGGGCTGTGGCCTAGATTAGGGAGTCCCTCCTGGCTCTAAGTGCTGTCAGCGTCCCCGCCCTTAGACCTGGCTCCTTTTTCATCGCCCGGTGTGCGCGCTTGGCTTCAAGGGACCGCAGTGAGACTAGCACGGAGTCTTGAGTTCATACATAGGATGTCAGATTTGAAGGGTTCTACAAGACCATCTTCTGAACCCGTTATTTCACAGATGAGAAGCAGGGTCCTGCCTTCAATGAGCTTATGAGTTGTGGGACCTGAAATAAGTCCGTTTTTTTCTCCCTAAAGGGTAGGAGATAAAAAAGCGAGTAATTTCTGAGTGAGAGGTCACCAGCAAGAGAGTTGTAATCCACATACCCGAATTCAGTTTTGCTTTCCTTAGTTTAAGGGTCTTTGACAAATCACATAAACTCTTTAAGCCGTAGCTTCCCCAGTAATATGAGGATAACAGCTGTCGCTACTTGACTAGGCTGTTGGAGGTAATATGTTAGAGCACTTTGTAAACAAGTAAAGCGATATGTAAACGTCAGTTATTGTGAAATACAGCCAGCATTTTGCTCTTATTATGCCAAACTACAGGCGTTAAGCTAGCCTTGAATAACCGTTTACCACTAGCTTAGTGGTTCTTCACCTTTTTTGGAGTCTTAGACTCCTTTGAGCATCTGTGGATTCTGGTCACAGGAAGACCCTCCTGTTGAATAACTGATGATCTAGTGCCATTCTGTAGGATTAATGCCATAGTGTGGTTTTAGCTTTTATATCCAAGACCCATGGCTGTGAGACATTAAAATTGTGGAATTGGTCTAATGAAATTTTATAATCAATTCTCTTTAACCTGATTTTAAAAATAATTTAAATTTCTGGATATGCAGTGCTTCTTCTGTTGTTGTTTTCTAGAGAAGAAATAAAAAACAGGTCCCAAGCTTTCGGAAGTTGCTAAAAACTAGTAAAGTCAAACTTGAAAACAAGCTAAAAAACAAACAATTTAAACAACAAAGCACTCTCAAGAAGTACCGAAAAGAACAGAGGAAACTAAGACAAGCTGTAAAAGATGCTGTGTCTAAGAAACCTATTCCATTGGAGGACCCAAAGGAAAAACGACCAGGTAATTGTGAAAACATTCATGTGTTCCAGTTTCCATTGATTTGTTTTAAAATGTTCTTCATGGAATAACTTCGCTTTCTAGTAATCACTCTTCTTGTTCTCAGGTCTTCCTACGAGTAGGTAAGGATCGTAGTCCTATATGCTTTATCACAATTAGTATGAGAAAACATTTCAGTACAATATTCACAGTGAGAAAGAGCTAGACTCGCCTTTCAGTTTGTCTAGAAAGCAGATCTGAAGATACAATACATACTTGGGAAAAACAGACTCAGAGTAGCAAATGTAAATAATTGTTGGGCATGCCAGTGCTGCCACTTTTCCGTTCACTGGCAGTTAGCTAAGGTAAGAACATTGCTTTTCTCTGGTGCATTCTTCACAGTATTGCTAAGTTTCACTTAGTTTTCTAAACTTCTGGCTTTCTTTTCACTTGGAAACTTGGAGTGAAATTAAGCTGTAATTGTCAGGGTTATTCTTTTGTAAACCTGTTCAAAAATTCCCAAGTACTCAAAAAACAGGTAAGGAATATGACCATTTTGAGTCAGACCAGTTTTTCTACAGGGTTACTCATACTTTCAGGGAATTCATATTTGGCTATATCTGACTATTCATTCTTCCCATGCCCATCTCATTCTCTTATCCTGACCTATTTAGTTTGATCCCTTGGCAACACGTTATTGTGATGTATAAAAGGTCATGGGACTGGAAGTCAGGAAACTTGAACTTTTCTCTTAATTTTGTTGCTTACTAGCAGTGTGGCCTTAGTCCGTCACTTAATCTCCAGGTACTTCATCTATTTAAAAAACAAAAATGCATTGGTTGAGTTAGATGTTTTTAAAGATCTATGTAAATTTCAGAAGAATTTAAAAAGCATGATGTGTTAGTAATTACATTTTAAAAATAGAAGCAAAAGATTTCTTCATTCTTATATGTTGAGCATCTAAATGATGTCTCTCAGGCAGTTGGATATAAGAGTATAATGTTCAAGTGAAAGATCTGGGTTAGAGAGAATAGTTTTTGGAATTATCAACATGTAGATGGTAATCAAAGCCTTAGGCTTGGGTAAAATCACCATGGAGACTGTGTAGCATGAAAATAAGAGAACCTAGAACAGAATTTTAAGGAACCCAGCATTTAAGAACTGGGTGATCTCAAATGCTCTGAAGGACATTGCAGAATGTGTGGACACACTTATTTTTTGGTTGTTACAGTGACCTAAGAATGCTCCTGGCATTTAGATTTCAGGGGTCAGAGATGCTGGCATTTTGCCTAGCCCAGGACACCCAAGTACAACAAAGAATTGTCCTGCCCAGCGTATCAGTAGTGCTCCCGTTTAGAAACACTGGGCTAAGGTGTTAGTAAAGCACATGCTTTTCCTATCATAGACACAAAAATGCAGCGTTCTACATTTCTAATACTTGTTTCTGATTTCTTGTTGTTGTTGGAACAGGTAAAAGGATTGAGAGGGAAGAGGAAGAAGAGGAGGAAGCCCTTCCTTTAGATATGATGGATGAAGATGACTTACAGTTAATGAAGGATTTAGGGCAAAGAGCATCTTTTCTAACGAGAGATCTTTCTTCTAGGTAATACTTCATTTAGATTATAGTCATTCACATCCTTTCAGTGCTAAAAACTTGGTTCTGAATTTTACTTAGGTGGTTAGTGCAAGATGCTGCTCATCTGTGAACACAGTGTTTACAAAGAGTAAACCCTATTCAGTCTATTTCCTAAATAAGGTTAGTTCATAAATAAAACAAGCTGATTTTATTTAGTGTATATCTTTATTTCTTTTGAGTTTGAATAGTGAAGTGGAGTGAATGGGTGAAGTATGCTGTTCTTTGTTTGAGGCAGAGCAGTCCTGAGTTCTTTATGGCCATGTTACACATGCCTCAGTCCTTGTTACCCTATTAGGTACATATTATTCCCTTTTACAGAGAGGAAACTAATGCTTTCCCATTGTCACAAGTAGTGGATCTGAAATTTAAACTTAGATACTTCTAAGTCAAAAGTCCATGCTATGTTGTGACAGTTTTGGGGAAAGTAAAATAGCATGATGTCACCCTTGGCTCTGTGGAATATTCTTCAAAGAAAAATCTGCTGTAACTTTCACCTTGTTTTGCCTCTAAAGGGAAAACTAAGTGTAGCCATAGTTTGGGTCTTTATGGTTGGCCATACAATTCATTTATTCATTTACTGTACAAATGCCTGGTCTAGATGCTAATATCTATATGCCTATTAAAGGTTTGGTTAGTGGTTTATTTTTCTGTGCTTTTAAAATGATAGGCCTCTAGGTTCTTTTTTAAATATATTAAAACTAAATTTTTTTTTCTTGTAGTGAGCCTGTTCACGCCAGGAAGCGGAAGCATGAGCATGTTATAGATAAATATGAAAAAATACCAAGAACTCTGCAAACTGCACCAGAGAAGGAACTGATTCACTTACTTCCTATTAAAGATAAAAGTGGTATAATCCCACAGACGAGAGAGAAACCAGGTGATCAGCCCATGTATTAGTTAAAATTTTAGTTCCTTACTAATAATCACGTTCAAAATTTTTTCATTCAATATTTATTTTAACTTTTACCCATATTTACAAAAGGGGATAGCTACAGTTAGTCATAGAGCAAACTTGATGATTTTGGCTGGAAATACAGATGGTTATCTCAGGTGCCCATTGTACTATGAGTACAGCTGAAGCCACAAGGTTAAGGTGATTCTTTTCAGAGTATTTCATTCTGTTGTTTCTAAAATTAGAGCATATTAGTCATCCTTTTTTAGCCTTTTTTTCCTTACATGTATTTTTTGTGAAATAAAACGCACACAAAAGTCTAGAAATCAAAGATGTGAAGGTAGGTGGTTTATCACCAAAAGCATACCCATAAAACTACCATCTGGGCAAGAAGGAAGTACTGCCAGCACCCAGAAACTTCCCTATACTCCCCTAAATCACTAATTGCTCCCTCCTGACAAAAGTAACTATTTTCCTGAGTTTTATGGTAATCACTTCCCTGGTTTTCCTTGTGGTTTTACCACTTATGTATATTATCACACTTTTAATATGCATATTTTCCATATAGTTATTGACAGTAACCAAGATGAAGAGGATCAAGAAGAGATGGAACCTGAAGAAGGTAATGGGATGCATCTTTCTAGTTACTAAATTGTTAATTGAGAATTACATTTTTTTACTTAATAGTGAATTAATTTTACATAAAATCTGGAATGTGCATTTTGGAGTACTGGTCATTTCAAGCTCATTTCGAACATTTTCCCACATTTTGAAAGTCTTACTTTGTGTAACTTGAGTCTTTTTAAAAAAAAAAAAAAAATTATTTTTTATTTAATTTTGGCTGTGTTGGGTCTTTGTTGCTGCACACGGGTTTTCTCTAGTTGTGGCGAGTGGGGGCTACTCTTTGTTGTGGTGCGTGGGCTTCTCATTACAGTGGCTTCTCATTGTGGAGTATGGGCTCTAGGCGCACAGGCTTCAGTAGTTGTGGCATGTGGGCTCAGTAGTTGTGGCTCATGGGCTCTAGAGTGCAGACTCAGTAGCTGTGGTGCACGGCCTTAGTTGCTCCGCAGCATGTGGGATCTTC